TTTTTTTTTCTTTCTTTTTCAGTATGTGTTTGAGATACACAACAGTTATAACCCTGGGGAGAGAAGCAGATACAAACACTGCGTCTTAATCATTTTTGCCTTGCTTTCTCCTCCCCACCCTCCATCTCCCTCATCCCGACAGGAGAATTAAAGGCCCATAATTCCTGGGTTGCCTTGAGTAGCGATCCTGTTGAGGAAGCGTTAGCAGCCCCTCTGGTCTCCTCAGAAGCCAGAAGCTTGGCATCACCTGGGGAGGGCGTAATCACCCTCTGCTAAGGAGCTTTGCTCTCAGAAATAATTTAATCAGCGTGAGGAAGGAAGGGCTGGTGTGCCGCTGGCTGGGTATCAGAGGACTTGCTTCACGTGAGCAACACCAGTTCTGTTCCTGGAACGGAAGAGATGCCTCTTCTTTTAAAGATGTCTCTCAGGGTCATTGGAAAGGAAAAAAAAAATTCTCCCAACTCCATTATTAAAAAAAAAAAGCCGGGTGCGATGGTTCACACCTGTAATCCCAGCACTCAGGAGGCTGAGGCAGGAGGATCAAAAGTTTGAACAGTCTAGTGAGATTCTGTTTTGAAATCTTAAAAAAAAAACAAAAAACATCAAAAAATGTAAAGGATTGGGGGTATAGCTCAGTGTGAAGGCCCTGGGTTCCATCCTCAGCACGGAGAAGGTAGGAGGAGGAGGGGGAGGGGAGGGGGGAGGAGGAGGAGAAGGAGGAGGAAAGATAATTGGCAACTTGAAAGGAGAATCTCCTAAGTGTTTCATGAGTGGATTTCAAAAACTAAACCTAAAAGTTCATCGCATTTGCTAGCATGAAACTTAAAGCAGGGCACCCACTAGAATACCCGAGAAGGCAGTAGGTTTCGGTCACCCAAGGAAAGCGACCCCCCCCCAGGGGTCTGGTCACCATAGAAATGAAAACAACGTGAAGATTTCACCCTCGGAAGAGGGAAATGCTGAGGTAACCAGAAAGCAACCAGCACAGCAGCAACAGCAGCAACGCAGCAGGAAGACACATTCAGCAAGCTCGACATAAAAAGATCTGTGCTTCAGAAGGGGTGTTTTCAAGTTGATAAGGAGGGGAAAAAACAAATGGCGAGCAGAGAGCAGATAACCTGCCAGGCTATCAGGCTGTGGAGAGGAGCTGTTCCCTGGAGGGGGGGAAAAAAAAGCTGCTGGGGCCTTGGGCTCTGTTTTATGTTTTAACGGAAGAAATGACAGGAAAGGAAACTTGCACGGGGACGCGGATCCCCTGCTCAATCGGACAGCGGGAACGGAAGCCATGGAGAAGCTGGGCCTAGGGTGTCGTCCCCCTGAAGCAGCAACTCCACTTCTGAATGTTGGGGAGAAAAGCGTGGGGAGCGGGGAGCGGGACAGCAACGTCACCTCACCATGATCCCCAGATCCCCAAACCGATTTTAACGGAAAATGACAGGAAAGGAAACTTGCACGGGGACGCGGATCCCCTGCTCAATCGGACAGCGGGAACGGAAGCCATGGAGAAGCTGGGCCTAGGGTGTCGTCCCCCTGAAGCAGCAACTCCACTTCTGAATGTTTTGGGGA